CCTTTGGCTACTCTATAATAAATGCTGGTGCATAGTCAATCACCTCAGCCCGAACACAGAAGTGCTGCTGACCAGGCGTTTTACACAGAAAAATTGCAAATAAAATGCAGCGAGCGAGCGCCTGCGAGTAATAAAAACTGTTAAGCTTAAGCGCAGGCAAGTCGAGCAACAATTGTGACACAATGAATATTTCTTACGCCATGAATGTTTTGGGTACATATGAATATGTGTATGGAGGCATTATGCTTTAGTAACAATAATAACAATGGCACATAATAACAACAATAACAATGGCCAAGGTGCAATATTCATAAGAGGCAGCAACTGACAACCTGCCAAAGACAAGTTGGCAGTTAGTTACTCGAATGTCGAACATAAAAACTGGAACACGAAACCAAACAGCAACAATGCACTTTTACAGCAAATTAGTTTGAAATGCCCCGTTTTCTATGCACTTCATAACTCTTTTTATGATGCTGCTGCAAATGCATCGGTATTTTTGTTTGAGAATGTGTAAGTAAATGTTGCTACCTGGCTACCGGGTAGGTACATATGAATGATTCACGAGGTAATAGGTAATTTTGCCGAAAACAAGCAAACAAATAAAATGAAATTATTTGAATATGTTAGAGCACTATGTTGGACTTTTTCCTAATTGTAACATACGAGCATACAAAAAAGTATAAAAATAGTATTTACTTTAAAAAATTAGAAGGAAAACCCATCGAAGCAATATTTTAAGTAGAGTCCAAATTACCATTCAAAAAAAAAAAAAAATGTTTAGTTGTATAAATTTTTGGTATGCAAAAACTAGCTATGCTTTTAACTATCTGTACACGCTCATACGCCTGAATGTATGTGCGTATATTTCCACCACTTTAATACGTTTTGATTAAACATTAAAATGTATGTACATATGTATGTGTAAACAGCAGAATGTATTTTTTCTTAAAAATTTGTTGGCCCTAATAAACCTGATAAATTTCATACTAATCCCATTGAAGACACTTCAAAAGCTTTCAAATTCAAGTGAAAGAATGGAAAAATTAAAAATAAACCGAAAAAAAAATACAGACAATAATGAAATTAAGAATGCAAGAGCATAGCCTCGACACTGCGTCAATCATAAAAACAAAAAACAAAGAAAATAAATTAAAGGCAACAGTGAAAGTTGCAACAGAAGGCCAGACGTTTAATTCGGAAATGGCACACAAGTGGTTTTGGTGTACAGGGTGTTCTTCTATGGTGCCGCACTTGTTTATAGAAAATCAAAAACTGTAAGGAGTAGCCTTTTGGGGTTTTTTGTTGGTGGAATATAGAAAAAGCAACTCCCTCTGTACTGTAAAGAAGGGTTGAATATAGATTAGGTAGAAGTGGCTGCCAATGATCCTGCAACCACACCTGCGCCCTTTACTTGGGTCCGTTGTATCACCACGCGGATTATGAATCCCAGCTACTCGAACTATCGTGTACAAACCTTAAAAATTTACGTACATAAGTATATGTATCTAATTTAGATAAGTCGCCTAGGTTTGCGAGAAATTCAGAACACATGGATTTCTTTTCTTTTTCTCCAGAGTGCTGAACACTCGCATAAAGGTGCCTTAGGATAGCTACAGCTTCTGCAAAAGGCAGGGAGACCCAGTGGCTCCGCGTGCGTTCCGATGTCTATATGACCCGTAACATGCCTACATCTGTAGACAGGTCCCTTCTGCTCAGCCTGAGAAGACCTTGTGACCTTTACACGTCCCACTCAGGCCATATGTGTTTTAATTGAATGCAAGTATTATGGACTTTCATTTGCTTTTTTAACGGTGAAAATGCACAAATCGTGTGACCCCTGCTTTAGAATGAGCATGCAAGTAGCGTTTCTTAGTATGTCGTGGTATTGCATTTAGCCGAAGGAGGTAAATATTGCTCGCCAAGCGACGATATATTTATACGTTTTTAACATACACCACTGCCATTTTTCTTTAGCTGACGCAACGCGAAGATGATGACGCCGAATCCAGTTTGTTCCAAACAAAATTTGTCAAGGGATGACGGAAAATTTTTCCAGTAAAAAATTGTGTCGCTTAAATTTGTTTTCAGGCACTCTTTGAATTAAGAAACGGTTTGCATTCTCTTTAATCTCTATGTATTCGTGACCCGCTAAGGTAGCGGGATATCGTCAGGCGTTCAGCCTGGACTTTATATTCTAATCTGAGCCCAAAGACACCACCTAAGATTCTACTGGAAGTACCCTAGTGTATCTTTTTCCTAATTCGATTCGAATCTTTTCTTAAATTGTGGCTCTACTGGTATGTTTTCTCGGCAAATATGATCATATAGCCCTTCTAAACCCAAAGGTTGCAGGACACGTTCTCGAGACCTACATATGTTACTGTTGACCAATCAGTATATTCAACTCAACATTACCAGACACTAGTCCAAAAATATTTATTTTAGATGAATATACACCTTTAAAGCTCTAGCATTGGCGAGCGTATCGAAAAATCCTTTACGTTCGCCCCTGCATTGAAATTTTGAACCTCGAACAGTGGCCAGCAAATCATAGCTCAATGCGAGCTCTATTGGTCTCACATTGAGCGGGTCAGTTGGTCTCAGACAATGAAACGTCGGCAGCTGAGTAATGCTCACATCCATTGAACCGTTTGAATATGTATGTTTCTAAACCTAACCTATCAGTTTATTCATCACGTCAAACCTGACCCTATTTTGGGAAGTTGGAAATTGTTGAAGACCCTCGTAGCTCAAGATTCTTAAAACGAGTAGCTTTCTATCCAATTTGTTTGGAATGAGGACTATACAGCAGTGTACACAATGTGAGGGTTTAAGTAGCCGAATGATATTCAGAGAGGGAGAGAGATATTTATTCCTTTTTTTGGGCTGTGCATTTCACATTTCGACTCCAGGACCAAATAATACTAAATAAGGTTCTTTGGAGTTATTACTTTGAACAAAGATTGTGTTTGGCGTTTCTATAGCTCTCTACCAGATGCTCTTGGTCATGTAATTCACACCCGTTAGGAGCTGGAAAAACTAGGAAGTGGTCCCAAAGAAACAAGCAGTTAGCGAATATAGCAAACCATCACAAAGTTGTTTTTTTACCTATCTGTGTAAGAACCTACTGGTGCAATCGGAGAAATTTATAGAAAACTTCTGTTGCTGCGCAGCGGACTAACATTGCGGGTCGTTTAAAATGGGGTGGACCCATACATACATACATACATTAGTAACAATTCGAATAAAAGGAAGTATTCGCCCGGAATCGCCCGATGTGTATGCTTTAATAAGACATACTTTGCTGTAGGGTACATAATTTCCTATTAATATGTATCATTGTGATAAGATCAGTAGAGTTATTTTTATAAATGTGTTTTAAAACCGAAAAAACCAAAAATTCAGATTTTTTAAAATTCTAGTATTTAATAGATTCTAAAAACAAGATACTGCAGCTCCTTATAAAGCACCCTACATATATGCGGGTACATGTAAAACAACTGAGGTAGATGGATTACAAGAAATCAGGCAGCAATTTATTTTTTTCGATTTTTCACTTCTTTCATTTTATCTAACATTAACCGAAATAAGAAGTTGTTTTTAACCATTAGAACTTTTTCTTTTGTTTTTGCCTTAAGAATGGAAAGTCGTAAAAACAAAGGAAAACAACACAATTTATAACCACTTGCGCTTCCAAGAGTGTAACAGGTCAATTGGAGCACGTAGCGGCGTTTGACGGCAATAAAAACAAAAACAGGAAAAATACTTAATTCTTCCCGAAAAGGTATCTACTGTGAAGTTGTTGCTTTTGTGAAACGGACAGACGACATGCGTGCTTTTCCTCTACACACATTCTTTAGTTTTTTTTTGTTTTTTTTTGAAGTGTATCGTTCGCTTCATTTCGAGAGGTCGAGCGGCGATGATGATTTTAATGTTGCTGCGGATGGAGTGATCACCGATCATCTGCTTTTCATCTCCCCGTAGTATATCATATTAAGGAAAGTAGAATATGCATTGCATGAAAAAAAAAAATTTTTTTTTTGGTTTCAAAGACAAAAAGTACATGACAGTGATCAATTCGCTTAATTTCAGTTGAGAGGGGAAAAGAGTTGATGGCTTTACAGATCTACAAAATGCTACACACGCACACACACTTACATACGTACATATGTGTGTTCCCATGCACACTTGCACTTCTAGGCAAGCCACTCATGCACTATTGCATTTTTCGAAAAACACTTAAGCTTAATTGCATGCATTGAATACGAGCAATCACGCGTTCACTCACGCACTCACAAGAGCGTTGTTATGCGCGCGGCACGAGTGCAGCAGCGGCGGACGTGCCACAACAAACCGCTAAGCGAAATGCATGCCATTATAAATAATTCACTCGCGCATCACACGCATGGCAAATTGTACAGTTTGGCTGGTGCTGCTGCGTTTTGTGGCAAGTGCTTTCAGATAGATGTGGCATATGCACGGTACTTGTGAAGTTGGATTTTGAAGAGGTGAGTTAGGTTGATACTTTTAAGTATAATGTTTTTAAATATGTATGAATTTGATGGCGTTCAGGAATATTCGATTAACGGCTTTGCATGGACTTTAATGCAGATGGGAGACTTTTAAGTGAAAGCTGTGATGACAAAAATAAAAATATTGTGTCGCTGGGTATAGTCAGCCGCACTACTGATCCGATCCGTTGATTTCTTCATGAATCAAAGTAAAATACGTATGTATGTATGTGTGTAAGTAGGACAAACTGATAATATTTAAGTCAGTTAGAAACCGAGTTTCTTTCCTAAGGTAATACAAATATTTATTATGTATGTATTCCTTTAACACTCTTAAAACTTTTGTTTTTAGTAGCAGCCAATACATCTTCTTAAAGTATATACTATGTACCTAAATACATATGCATGTACACTACATATACATATACATATGTATGTATATATAAAATTTGAATAACAAGTAAAAGAAAAACCTTCTTCACTCACCCTCACATCCTTCTGATTCCTCTTTCAGTCCGAAATGTCCGTCAGCACATTCATCGCATTTGAGACCTGTTACACCGGGTTTACACTGACACTGCCCACTATCGGGATCACAATAGTCCACGTCCTCAGCGCCAAGAGGATCACAATTACACGGTAAACACTTCAAGTCGACATTCGCGAAACCCGCATCACATTCGTCACACTTTTGACCGGCGAAACGCGGTTTACACAAACACTGACCGTTCGTACTATCACAGAAATCACTATCCGAGCCATCAGCATAGCAATCGCAGGGTTCACATCCCACGGAAGGATCACCCCAGTAGCCAAGTTTGCAGCGCTCACAACGCCAGCCCTCGGTGTTGCCGCTGTGAAAGAAAAATCAAAGAGGTAAAAAAAATTAATTCTCGTTTTTGTGTAGTGTTGGTTTGTGTTTGCTTTTTCTTTTCGCAATGTTGCTACTCACTCGCATATGATGCATTGTCCGGTGAATACATCGCATGGCCCGGCATCACAATTGCATGACCGGCACTGTGAACCCACCTCGGTTGGATTTCCAAAGTAGCCATCGTCGCACATTTCACAGTGGTCACCAGTGTAGCCGGGCGGGCATTGCGTGCAAATGTACTCGGAATTTTCCACCACACCGTACATTGGGTTCAGATCCATGATGCTGTAAGTCTTCAGCTGACAACTGGGCGAAAAGTTGTTGCTATCAGACAGCAGGGGACAAGCGCAGCGTCTGCAGTCATGTTCGTTACCTTGCAGCGGATTGCCATAGTAGCCGACTTTGCAGCGCTCGCAACTGGTCGAATGAGAAAAGAAGAATGTGTTAACGTGTGTACAAGTGGTGAGTTTTTCGTGTGCGGTGAAGAAATAGCAGAGACAAGAACACTATCATGGTAAGATAAACGTTTAGGGTGGCCAGTTGTTAAAAAAGATGAAGACCAATCTTATTAAATAGTTTATTGGAAACTTTGGAGTTCTTAATGTAAAACCATATGAATTGAAAAGTAAAAAAAATTGTTACGAAAAAATGAAATCTGAGACAATCAACTAAAATAATTTTTTTATGCAAAAATTGTGTAGGTACTTTTGAGTAAATAACGTAAGTAAATTAAAGCCCCAAAATATGATAATTGTTTACACTTTTTTAAACAATTACACAAATTATATTTAATTTTGTCTCTACACAAATATTTTGCAACTTTCGTTAAATTTTTGGAAAGTTATAAAAAAAAAATATTTATAACGAATAAAAAATTTAAAGAAGTATTACAAGTTGAAACAAAAAATCATTGGTAAAATAATTGGAAAACCCAAAATTGAAAATAAGACAACATTTTTCGAGAGCGATGGTCCCGAAACATCAACGATGGTTTAGAAAAAATATATATAATAATGGGAAATATTTTCCAAGAAATGATAAAAAAATTAAAATGAGTGCTTTAAAATGTGTTTTATGTATTTTAGAACTTTGCTAAGATGAAAATACAAATAGAATATAAATAAAAAACAATTTTTAACAAAATCGAAATAGGGTAAAAAATACATATTAAAATTTTTGTTTAAAAAATTATATCTTTTTTCAAAATTACCGGAAATCATTTTAGAAAATTATAAATTTAAAAATTTTAAGAATACATAAATAAAGCAAATTTTGATTTTTTTAAATGTCAATCAAAATATTTGTGTGCTTTATTCGAGAGACTATGAAAGGATAAGCAAATTCTTTGAAAGGAGCATTTCTAGGTGTTTTGGAGAACTAAAAAAAAAAATCCCGAATAATTTTTGTAAATCATGTAATTTTCTGTACCCTTCCAAAACTTAATTGCTTTACTCACCGCTCGCCATAGGTGTTGTGCATACAGTTGCCACAGCCGCCGCTTTGCAAATCGCACGAGTTCGAATGCCCATTGCAGGGACAGGGTATGCACTTGGCCACCAACTGATGATCGGTCGCATTTTCCCAGATCCGTATGAAGCCAAAATCACAGCTCTCGCAGGAAAGCCCCGTATAACCCGTGGGACAGACGCATTGCTCAACTCGCGTGCTCGCCTTCGCCGCGCCCAACTCCGAACCACCCGAATAGATGATAACACGCTCGAGCGCCGTCTCCACCTGATCTGTGTGGTAGGTGCCGCGTACCAACAAAGCATCTATCGCCGCCAAAACGGAGAGCAGTTGCGCGCGCGTCACCGGCGATCCATGATATTCGGTGCGTCGCAGTCGCGTTTTTATGTCGCGCACAGCGGGCGGCACGTGATACCAACCCGCCTCGTCGAGGGTAATGTTGATGGTGGCCGAAGAGCCTTGCGTGTGCGTTGCATCTCCATGCGCAATTTTCAAACCGTTGCGTCCGAAGAGTATCACATCCGGTCCTGCTGTGGGTTTGCCCGATGTATCGCCACGTATAGTCACCCAGTTGACTTGTATGGTGAGACGTGCACCATAACTGGTCAGTCGATTCCCGAGATAGCCTTGCGGCGCCTGCCAGTAAATGGCTTCCACCTCGTTCAGGTCGTACATGCCGTAGACCAGGTAATTTGTGTTCGCATCCACCGTTGGCATAGCGAATTGTGAGCGCGTCATATCCGTCACCTTCCAGTCGTTCAGCGTCTCGAAAGCGAGTGTCTGCAGCACAGCGCTACTGCAGGAAAATCCTACACCGGAGCACCAACAGGGTGCGCAGCCATCTGGCTGATCGGCGCTAAGGTCATAATAGCCGGGCAGGCATTCGCTGCAGGTTTCACCAGCCACATGCGCTTTGCATTTGCACACACCCGCGCATTCCCTTTCCGGTATCGTGCCGCGCACATCGCATTCGCATCTGTGACACTCGTCACCATAGTAGCCGCTGGCGCATTCATTACAGCGCTCGCCTTGAAAGCCCTCACGGCAATGACACTCGCCGCTTACTGGATCACAGGTGCCTGTTGCGCCACGCCCGCCACACTCACACTGCTGACAGGGTGTTGACAGCGGCTCAGTGTGCGCGCGAAAGTGACCGCTGATACAGAACTCGCACTCATTGCCGGCGGTGTTGTTCTGACATTCCTGGCAGATGCCACGTTCTAGAAATGCGTCGTAAATGCACGTATCCGCATGGTCATTGCACTGACACAACTGACACTCGTTTGCCTCACGCGTTGTGCCATTGCGAAAGGGCTTATCCTGATAAAGCGCACAGCACTTACCGCAATCCGCGCCGCAGGTATTGTGCTGACAGATGCATTGCAGCGTTGATGTGAGTTGTGTGTATTCCATTTCATCGGCGCGCTTCTCCGCTAACTCAACGGTTTTATCTGCATGGCCATGGCAATCAAGACGCGCACTTACGCGTATCTGTTTGAGTGAGTAAAAGGAACGTTTCTCAAGCGATTGTGCGTCCAGTAGCCAGTCTACGCTGTTGTCCAGATTAGCGGTCGTGTGCATGCCCTGCAAGCGGATGCGTATGTAACGTGCGGTTATGAAGTTCATGAGCTCCTCGGATTGATCCATAGCACCGGGCCTATTCTTGAGCAACGAGACGTGCAACTCACCATTTTCGAGTGGCAGCGCTTTGGAGAATTGTGTGGTGCAAATGACTTCGGTGTCATTCTCGAAAACATATTTGCCGTTTTGTCCTGCTAGGCCGTAACGTCGCTGACAGTCTGCATCACTTAGGCCAAAATATTGCCACGGTACGTAAGTGAAGCCGTCAAGTGATTTTTCCAGTACCCAGGAGGCAGGTCGAGGCGAATTCGCAGATTTGAGCATGACGAAGAATACTTGATAGATCTGAAAGAGAAAAAGAGACGGAGGTAAATATTAATATCGATTTGGTATGAGAGTTAACGTTGAAACTTATAAATGAGGATTTTTTATCGCTGTACTTATAAATATATGAAATTTAGATTAAAGGGTTTCTGATTTTCAACAAAGCTAAGGAGAAACAGCTCCATTTGTTTTTTGTTTTCAAGTTGTAGTCCCAGTTTGTGGAAGGAATCAGTTGAAATTTCGGCACCAAATGCCAGGGTTCATACCAAATTTGTATACATTTCTAATGGCTCTAGAGTTTGTGCTCGAAGTACCATTCGTCGTCAATACTTTGGCAAGCCAAGCCAAGTTATTTGGGGGGAGGACCTATTTTGGCATCATGGAAAAATTAAAAGTATGTATTTTGTTACTCAGCATCCAATACAAGGAAAAACTGCCAGCATCAAAGGGAGATTCGCCCGAGAATTGATGTGGTTGGTTTGCTGCCTATCGCCTTCCATAAAAGTGTTTAGATATTGCGGAAACGAAATATCAGAAGGTTTCTAGACCATGTCGCAGAACTTTGAGGTGTAAGACCGACTACGGTACTTTGGGGATACATAGCTTTAGTCGCACCGATCATAACATAACATATGATAAGCAGATGCAAAGAAGAAAGAGTATAGCCATGACGAGAGAGAAGAAGAAATTTAGTGACTACAATCTTTTGGATTATGGTACCACGATAGCAGTTCTGGGCGCAGAGAATTGTTTCGAAGGTTGTCAGAATAATATCCCAGTTTTAATTTCAGTACATTTCATTAAATACATTAGCGAATTAAGATTTCATCAAGGCTTGGGTTTGACAGCTTATCTGGTAGCTCAAAGGACCTATGAATTTTAGCCTCGTTGAAGTATACTGCAGTTCCTACTGCTTCGTCCATTTCAAAACCGTCTGTCTAGATTTGCCATTACGCTAACAATGAACCGCTATTGTCACTTCTAGACACCTTTCGAAATCCAGACGCGGGATCATGTAGTCTATTCGCCCGGTCAAGGATGACCATATACTACTGTGACCGTACTTTCTGGAGGGTAACTTTGCAAGATTTTCCGCTTTAGGTGCAATGGCAATTGTTTCTCAATGGGAACGCAAATCAGAGTCGAGTGATGTCCAAGCTTCTCGAGGGTCTAGTAAACCGCACACACCCTTTTGAAAATTTTTCTGGAATGTACGTGCATACTACGCTTTAATAAACTGCAAAGATTGGCATGTCAATGCGTCACTGGATCAATAAGAACGAGCTCAATTGCGGCTCTAGAGCCATTTCTACGATGGACTCGAAACTGCATCCATGAGGGAGCTGCAACTTCGACTATCTAACGACGGTTACTGCACAAAGAAGCTTCATGCATGCAAGTATTATTGGGAAGATACACGAGATCGGTTTTGGCAGAAAGACCCAAGTGCACTTGGTATCAGATACGTACACAGATACACAGAGGGTTCAAGGATGTAGGACAGAGCAGGGTCAGGTATTTTTGCTCGTAGCAACAAACTTGCAATTCCTATGGGCAAATGGACTACGGAGTTTCAGGCCGAAATAGGCGTAATTTTAAACTGCGCAAAATTAAACCTTGAAAAGGGTTTGAAAGGCGTATTTTTTAATTATCTTCTCAGATGGCCAAGCAGCCATCTGGTCCCTTTCAAACAGGACTATGAAATCGAAGCTAGTTAGAGACTGCTTTGACACACTGCTATAAATTTTGGCAGCCAAAAACACTGTAACAATGTACTGTTTACCAGGCCATTGTGGGATTGAAGGCAATGAGGACGCCGACGAATTGGCACGAGAGGAGTGGCCTATTCCGGACCTGAACCAAGCTGTGGTCTCAGTTGGTCCTCTTCGAAAGCCATAATTACTGAGTGGGCACACTCTGAACGCAGTAAGTAGTACTGGGGAGCGACAGGCCAGACTTTTCGCTTATGCTTTCAACGGAAACGGGTACCTGACTAGTCACAACTGATTGCGATTCCACTTGCACCGAATAGATGTTGGAAAGCCGGCTCTGCCTTGAGGTTCATGAAATTTTCGAGCATATTCTATGGCTAGGGTATATTTAAACTTAGCTCGGAATCCGATGACAATGCAAAATGAAAGATGAATTAATCCGCTAGGTGGCACAGGAGTTGAGATGTATGAAAAACCCGTTTTTATATTCCAATTTGGTTCATATGTGGAATGTATTTCTATTACCTACATATGTACATGGAAGGAAATAATTCCAGAAAAAAATTTCAGTTGTTAAAATTTTTTTTTATTAATTTATATAAAAAGGGAAGATGGAAACTACGAGCCTGATACCGAATCCATTGAGTGCCTGATCGATGCGTATACCACATAGCACTTTCTCTGTAGCAATCGCTAGACTAAGCTGGCAAATTTCTGGGCCAGCAGTATTAAGATTTCTTTAGATTTGAAATAACTGCTAAAGACTTAGCGCCACATCGACTTGTGTGTGATTGAAAATGCCTTCAGACAATCAAAAATAAATACCAAGCAATTATCTATGGTAGACACATATGTATGTATGTATGTATGTATGTACGTAAATATGTACCCAATTTGAAAAGTTTCGTGTACTATTTATCTACATAAATAAGGAAATGCGAAGGTCGAATTTCTCAGTACAAAAACAAAAAACTTTATAAGCATAATTTATGGTTGTGACAAACGAACGCGCGCGCGCGCTTTAGGCTAGGCTATACCGAAATGCTTCTCAAAATGTGCATGCATGCATATAAAAAACTATGCACATATACATAAATAATTTTTGTCGGTAAATAAAATTCTAAACGGCAAACGGCATCACGACATGCCCATTTTTCCATACGCCTTCACGCGCTCATTCAAGTTCCTCGTAATATTTGTGGTTATAAATGTCATTCTTTAGCCGCTGCACCTTTGTGGCGCTGGAAAATTATCTATCTACACGATTTTCTTGATTATTTTGATTGTAATGTTTTTCTTTATTTGTTTGTATTTATTTTCCATTTAAGGGCAAACGTTGGTGCGAAACAAAATGCAGTCGAAAGATAAAAATTAAAAGTTAGCCAAATATGCGAGTAAATTTATACGAGGTGAAGAAAAGAATTTAAAGCGCAAATGCTTAGTGCTTGTGTGGCGCCGCTGTCATAAAAAAAAAAAAACTGTATGTACTCATATTAATTTATGGAGAATAAAGGACTCAGTATATACGTTTTAAGATAATTAGATCATTTACTTCAATGAATTCTCACAATCGAACTCAAATATGTTCCACAAGTTGCAAGTTCGAATTTCAGGTCAAATCAACTAACCTCCTAAACTTAACAAGCAGCAACGGAGTATACATATCTGCATCTCGCATTATCGTATAAGCATTTGGAAACTCTTTGCGCTGGTATCGTTGTCAGTTTATCATGATTTATATTTATTAATCACATTAACCACAAACAAAAAAGAAGAAACATTTAAAGAGGGCAAGAGGGTAACGCTGCGGCTAAGCTGAACACGCAAATGCAAATACATAACTGACCAATTAACTGTCAGTTAAAGCGCATTAATGATTTGGCAATCTTGTTAGCCCACCCCCTCAACAACCACCACCCCACATTTAGCTAGCCTCCAGCCACAGTTTCCACCACAGGCCACAGCCACAACGGAAAGTAAAAAAAAAAAAAAATGTTATCTTTATTCCTGCATCGATATGCCGACACGCAAAGCAAAAGTGCAACAAGTGTGCGCATTGCGCCAAAATTGGCTAACTTGCAACAAAATCAGCAGCAACATACCGTTGCATAGTGCGAATGCAATTGCGAATGGCATTCACACGAAATGTCGTATTCATACATACATACATATGTGTATGTATACGGTGACCGGATTTCTGTGGCCAAAAATCGGTACATTTCTAAAGCATCGAATTCGAACCTACATTAATTTTTTTAGAATAAAAAGACATAACATCTTTTAATACAGTTTTATTTAAAACACAACAAAGAGAAAAAACTTGAAAAATGATCGCGAAAATTTATACACACATACACATAGATATGTACGAAGGCGAGAATGTAAATAACGAAAAGACACTTTAGCAAGTTTTGGCCACTTTTCTTCGGTTAAAAAATTTTTATTATTTTTTTATGAAAATATAACTTACTATCTAAACAAGAAATCGTGTAAATCAAAATTTCAATCTTTGTAGAATATTTATAAAAATTCGACGAATTTTAGCAAATGTTTATCAAAATTTTAAAAATTTTAATCAGATTTCCTAGAATTTTTTTTTTTGTTGTATAAAAAAGTGCAACATTGAATAGCTTGGTCTTATCGTTGATTTTCGGATATTTTTTGTTCGCAAATATTCCTCCATACAAAGTATGTATGTATGTTCAACAATTTTTTTTTGGTATAGAGAAAATGAGCAACATATCCCACAAAAAAAAAATTTACCAAAAATCTACGGTAAGTCAAAGCTACTTAAAATTTGCTTTTTGAATTGAATGGGCTACAAAACTGCATAATCAGAATGTTTTTGAGAAATCTAATTAATAAGCTCAACATTTTGATAAAATTTTGACGAATTTTATTAATTTGTGTGCAAAGTTTGAAACTTTGACATACATGGTTTTTGTTAGATAACGAGCTATACTTTCATAAAAAAATAATTAAACTTAAATAATCGCCAAACCGCCAAATCGCTAAAAGTATTTTCCCCATTTTTTATTTTCGCCACTCTATCTACAACTTATATTTTTACATCTATGATTTTTTTGAAGGAATTAATAGTTTTATAATTTCACTAAATTCAAATTAGAATCGATTCATTAAAAAACAAAAATACTGAACAAATAATTATGCAAGTGATTTTCTTAAAATTGGTACTGTCCCACCAAAAATGGTCACCGTGTATATCGCTACCTTAATATAGAAAGGCCCTATCTAAAATTTTTGTTTCTTTACGGAGTAATGAAAAAGCTCCGTCGAAATTCGGGTCCT